TTTCAGCTTATAATTCAATACTGGCCGTAACAACATAAACGCATATTCCATTTGTAAATGATACGTTTTAACCAATTTTTCAATATCTGGCATAATTTTAGTATATTCATCCATGCCAATAGTTATTGCCAAAAAATCAACATATTGGATGTAAGTGTTACAGCAAAGATCCATACGATGGACAACAGATTTAAGATGTTTAGAACTTTCACCAAGTGCCTCATATGGAATGCTTTGTGCCAACTGAGCAATTAAAACAGCAATCTTTACAGCAAATCCCTCTTCAACGAGCGTTTGACTCAGCCTTGAAGAATTACGACGAACATTCTTCTGGTTTCGATTAAACAATTTGATGTTTCGCAAATGCTCGCCAGTACCCATGAGAGCCACGTCATATTTTGAAGGGACTATTTCATATTTAATTCCTGACATTGCAGTAATAAGTTGAGAAAGAACGCATAAATCTACAGAATTGCGGTCTTTAAGTCTGCAAATGATGAACAAAAGAATGCTTGAAAGGTTCATTTTTTCATATTTTCTGCACATATTTCCACAAAATTCCGATAAATGTTTAAGCCAATCACTGATATTAATACCATCCTCTTTGAGTCTTTCTCTGTCACTAGAAAAGACTTCCAGCATCTGATACGTCAAGATATCATATTCGAATGCGGTAAAATATTTACAGGCTTCAACAAGAGGATTAATCATATTACCGTACGCTTGAATTTGTTTCAGAATAATTTCAAATACAATTGTCGGATTTGCATGAGAAATTTTTGCAAGCTCACGACCTTTTTCACGGCAATTTTCTTCAGTAATTCTTTTTAAAATTTTTTTTGTTTCATGGCTAACCTTCTTATATTGATCTTTTAATGGCTTGTGGACGTCATAAGCCAATTTCCATTCAGCATAAATATTAAATCTCATTTTATATGGGAACAATTTAAGAATGTTCCATAACTCATCTATAACACCACAAGTAGTATCCGGCATGGCTATGCTAGGCATAATTGTTGATCGAACAATATCTAGCCATTTATTTTTAATTGTTTCAAAATCCGAAGAATTTCTCGATTCCTCTAGATGGTGATATGCAATACGCATAATTTTTGTAAATAATATAAGGTCTCTAGCAAGCCATGGTCCAATAAAAAGTAACAATAGTCGTCCTTGTCCCTCAATTAAATCTGAGAAAGAAAGAATGATAGGTATTCCTTCTCGCCAACGTTTGTACCAAGAACCGAAAAAGGACGGAGGTTGGAGACGTTTTACTAAACGAGGAGCGATTGGTGCGTAAATATCATAAATTGCTACATTGATCATCTGACGTAAGCAACTGGCTATGGATTCTTCGATCTCGGGGAGATGATATAATACGTAACGTACATGGTAAAAATCACCTATTTCAATAAGAGCACACGCAAGGCCAATCTCATGCTGATGAGGGTTATCTTCAGATTCCCTCAGGATATATGGATATAGATCAGCTATTTTCACAACTTGATTGTGTATCAATATAGCGGAAGCAATGTACAAATATGAAAAAGCGTTTGGAAACATATCGGAGCCCTCATAACGGGAGTACTTTATGCCAAGCAATTGAGCACATATTGGATTTCCTTTATCATTCGACCATTCATCATGGTTCTCAATTATATCCATAGGATCAGGCAACCATGGAGAATTCTTCAAAAGTTGTATGAAAAATTCGTAGTGAACCTTTACATTTATAATAAATATATCAAGAATTAAGTCCAAGACACGATTTGGATCCAGGTTGAAGAAACCTATTAATACATATTATTTACATCAGAGAATATCAAAATATCAAACGAATATTAAGTATAGGAAAGAAAAAGGAAAAATATGAAGAATTACCTATTAATGTTTGAATAGCCTCCAAAATGCTTTGTGTACGTATATTTAGAGACACATCATCTTCCTTATATATGGAGTCACAGCACATAGCTAATTCACATATTAACTTTGCGTATCCTTCGGATTCTTCACGGGCGAGATTATATTTTTGCTGTTTATACAACATTGCCGTGTTAATTCTCACGCAGCGTCGGCCAAAAGTTTTCTCTTCTACTACACCGGCACTTTCTAAGAGGGAAATATCTAATTTCGTCTTCATGCTTTTGGTGTCGACGATATTATTTGCCTTTGAAAATCAAAGAAAGTTATTGGTATAAACTACCAAAAATCGTAAAGATAATATATAAATGTAATGTTTGTCGAGACGTTACATGACAAAACGTATTTCAAGTTTATGATGTCTTGTAATTGAAACACCCAAATCGCTATATATAGTTCTCATTATAAGCTTGTATCTTTGTACAAAATTACAAAAAAACTAAATTATAAAATTGATTTTCCTTCAAAAATCAACAATCTGTGAATGCTTACGTGAAGATATTTGACAATGTTAATAAGATTTCGACGACAATCGTTTTCAGTCGCTTTGTCGCTTGCACCGTCAATAATGGTACTGTCAATGTACCATATAGCATCAAGAACGCACTGAGCAAGAGCCTCGGGTTCCTGCTCGCCATTTTGAAGCTTTTCGAAGACGGGGCCGAGTAAAGAGGTAGATTTGTTGCCAATTACAATCTCTGTAAAGGCTTCTAGAAGGTCGTCTTCCATTCTTAAATTTGGGAAGATAAAATAGCGCTTAACGTTTAAAATTTTGTACTTACGTACATACAGCAAAAGTAGCCCCGATTTGATTGTGTAACGATACGGGCAAATATATACCCATTCCGGTAATTTTGGGCAAAAAAAAATTTTTTTTTTGACTTAGAATATTTTGAAAAACCAAGGCGTATAATAATATAAGTGTGGCCATGAACAAATACAAACCATTTCTTTATCAATATGCAGTGTGGGCAGTTTTTGGATCCGCAGCTATACATTTGCTCTGGACAAAAAATGAGTATCGAGAATACAAGGAAAGAATGAATTTTAAGATTTCGAAACTTGAGGATTTGATTGAAAGACTGAAACGCGATGCAGGTGGTAGATTTGTCAATGATACAGTGCTAGCCAAAGTATTCCTCCTGTAACTTGTTTACCATTAAGCTCTGCTTTGAAAATTTAAAATAATATAGGTCTCTCTTAATTAATTGTATTAAAATTTAGATGAGAAAGTTGAAAACTAATTTCAACTAAAAATAGTAAAAATTAAAAAAATTATTGAAATTTTATTTTATAATAATGATAAAAAATTTGACTTAATTTAATAAATAGTTGTTAAGAAATTAAAATTTGAAGTTTAGCTTTTAAAATTTTAGCAATCTAAAAAATTTTAAATTTCTCAATATTAAGTCAAATTTTTTGTCACCATTATAATATATAGTTATTGAATGCGAAGCAGCCAATAACAGGAGTTATAAATACTCCATTATCTGGTTTTAAATTTAATGTGCTGGTTTCTGGGTTCCGCAGGTAGTGTAACAAATCGAAAGTTGAAAAAATTGATTAGTTGGTTAGTTGACAACTAATCGATTGAACAATTAATCGACTAATCGATTAGTTGCAACTAATCGGCTAAAGAATTAATTGAAAAATTATTTACTTAATGAATTAGTTGCAACTAATCGATTAATTCGTCGATTAATCGATTAGTTGCAACCAATTGAAAAAACAATTAACCAACTAATCGATTGAAAAAAATGTCGATTTGTAACATTACCCGCAAAGGCCCAGAAGTGTTACGTTAATTTTAAGCCAGATAAGTAAGTTATTGGCTGCGTAGCATACAATAACGGTGTTATCCGGTGGATTACGACGATTATACTTGCTAAATGACTCGAGTTTTTATAACGAAGCTATTTGGCAGATGACGTAATCACTGCCACAATAACTCGAGTGCAGCACCATCATAGTAAACTGACGGATAATAGATTTTATGATAAAAGTTACAGGGAATACTTTTGTTCTGCGATGTAAGTACAGTATATTAATCAAAGTATTGCTGAATTTATTTAAATTATTTGCTAGCGATAGAACAAAGCTCTAGTACAACACGACAAAGTATTACATCAACTCAGTCTCGCGTGACGTCTACGCATACCCAAAAGGAAGAAAAATCCAAAGCCGTTGTATGGCTATAATTACTAGATACATTTATAACTCTTTATTAAACGTAAAATATAAAAAATTATAAAATGCATATGAGAAATTCACTTCATCAAATCATTATAGTATATTGCTGAGGTTTAAACAGAATTTTTCAAAGGAGTTTTTCACGAACATTTTTTTGATCATGACGATTACATCTTGATATATTAAAATCAAACATTCATGATTTTTAAGATCGCGTTTTAAAACATTTGCCATCCCTAGTCTCGCATATTTTCCCCATTACTGCATTAGCACTAGTAATCCAAAACGTTAGTTGAAAAACTAACTAGTTGACAACCACAAATGAATCCCATAGTAAAAATTTTACAAAACTTTCTTATATCTAGAGGTTATTATAATCTTTTTATATCGAGTGTATTTTATATCGAAAGTTTAATTAGTCTTCTAGTTAACGTAATTAATTATGTATATAGTTCCATAAACATTTGATAACTAGTATCCTGCACGTGCTTTGCTACGTGATAGATTAGGTGTTCAGAATTATGATGCGACATAATGTGCATACGCATTATGCGTTGCATAAAGCCGCATAATTCAGGTTATTCAAATAATAACCCCGTATAATGTGTGAACCCGAGTTTTTAGCCAATGAAATTGCTTATATATCAAATATAAGACTTAGCGACTAATTACACTAGATAAATGACCAATGAGATTAATCTTTATATTCTATTATAAGTATT